CTTTATCATTCCCCGGTGCAGTTCGATGGCGCATTCGAAGACAAGGATGGTGCTGCTGAGCTTGTGATAGAGCTGTTGGGCGATAAGAAAACAGCAGCAGAAGTCGAGCGGATCGCTGAAGCACTTTGGGAATGGAGGGCGAAGAGGCTCCGAAGAGGGCCTTCGCTTGCAGCGGTGCTACAGAAGCAGATCCCCTCAATGCCGGTTCGAGTGCAACGGCCGGCGGTCGATATCCACCAAGTCTTCGAAGAGGTGGTGGCAACCACCCCTGCAGTGGCCATCGCCCAACTGCAGCGAGCTGTCAAGGTGAGCAGGGCTGCTGGAAGCCGGGAGGACTTGGAGACACAGATGAGAGAGCGGTGGGCTCTTCAGCTGGTTGCTTTCATCAAGGAGGCCAAGTTGCCATGCGCATCTAGGATGGAAGCCCTTGGGGATAGCAACCATCTGTGGCTTCGGATTTTCGGCAACAGACGGGGCAAAACATTGCGAAATCGGGCCAGGGCCTGGCGCCCCTTTCGAGAATGGCTGATGGGCACCTATGGGGTGCCATGGCCTCAAGATGCTGGACAGGTCTTGAAGTATCTGGAAGAGCGGCATGCTGTCACTAGCTTGGGTCAGACCGTACCCAGGTCTTTGATGGCTAGCTTGTCATTGCTTGAGACCGTCGGGATGGTTTCTCCTGAGGACAGATGCAGCGAGGATCAGTTACTTCTTGAAAGTCTTAAGTCCTGGACCATGGAGCTCGAGTCAGGCGGGCCAGCAGTGAAGCCAGCACCAATGCTTCCAGTTGTTGCATTTCTTGTTTGCGAGATGGTAGTTTGCAGGCCTGTTTATGAGCTGGGGTTGCGGTTTACTGCTTTCACTTTGTTGCTCATGACCTGGGCGAGCCTTCGCTGTGACGACGTGCAGAACATCGACCCCGAGAGCCTCAAACTCAGTCAGGTTGGACTTCGTTTCGTTTTGAAGAAAACGAAAACGAGTGGGCCAGGGCGGAAGGTCGGAGAGTTGCATGCCTTCGTAGCTAGGACCGTTGGCCTGAGTGGATATGACTGGCTAGGCGAGGGCTACAAGCTTTTGAGCGAGTGCATTGTCGTGGTCGCGGGACTTCCTTTGCCCTGCATTCAGTGCCGAGTGGGACACACCTGCCAAGGGCTTCCTGGATGCTGAAGGTTTGGCTTTGCAGTTGCGCCGGCTTCTCAAGCATTTGCCGACGCCGGTGAGGCAACAAGGGGTTTGGAAGGTCGCGCGCGAGTTGCTTTTCCCAGGGGAGATGGCCAACTTCTGGACAGGGCACAGTGCACGGCATGTTGCTACCAGTCTTGCTGCTGCATTAGGCGTGAGCAAGGACCGGCGAGATTATCTTGGGCGCTGGGCTTATGCTCAGCATGGCTCACAGGATTATGTTTTGACTTCGAGGCAGGTGGTGCAGAATTTCATTTGCAAATGCCTCATCGTGGGGCACCCAGATGGCGGGTACACTGAGGAGGAGTTGTTCTGCACCATGCGATCATACGCTGAAGCATTGCATCTTGCTGGGGATGAAATAAAGCTTGCTCTGTCCTGCAGTGGGATGATGTGGAGGCAACTTGGAAGCTTGGGGGAAACTTTCCTTCGTTCGCTGTTTCCCCAGACAGGGTTAGGGCAGCAGCCGGCAACATGGGTGCCGATCTGCCTGGGCCTTACCAAGACTTCGAGCAAGAAGAGGACAGGGATGATGCACCCTACTTCATCACGATTTCGAGAAAGGGTTTTCGTCGCTTGCATCTTTCAAAGAAGTGCGCTGTGTGGCGAGAGAATTGCTTGGAGACACTCCCGATTTTCAAGTTGTCAGAGGGCATCGCTGACGACGTTTGCAAACTGTGCAAACCCAAGGTTGAAAGTGCCGAAGGCTCATCAACCAGTGGATCTGAGGACACTCAGGTGGAGAACCCGGTGGAACCGGAGGAGCCCGAAGGGTTAATTCCGATTTTGTTGGTTGAATGATCCTGGAGCTTTCGTGAGAAAACAGGGGATCGTCTGCATGTTTGCAATTGCTGCCGGTGGAGTGCAGCCTGAGAGTGAAGAGTTAAGCTGCTGGTGGAGTGCAGCTGAAGAAGGGATGCCGGTGGAGTGCATCCGAAGCTGAAGTGATTGACCCTTGCATCATTGCTTGCTCAAGGGAGGTGTGATGCAAAGTTTCTTCATGAAGGTCGAGGAACTGAGAGTTCACGGAACAGTTGATTTGTCCTGGGAGGATCACATCGAGTGCTTAGGTTGTTTTGCTGACTTTGTCACATGTGTTCTTAAGGACCTCAGCGCGCTCGTGCAATCATGGCGACCGACCTGCCGGCCGGTGTGGACCAGGCAGCAGCCTTGAATCATCTGGATAAGAATGTGAGCTCCGACTTGGTGCATATCTTTCAAGAGTGTGGTGTACCATTGGGGCTGCAGTACCGGCTCACTTTGAATTTTCAGTCTGTCAAGCGTTTTTCTACATATGCCGATTCCCGGGCGGATGTGCGAACCGCTCTGAAGGATGATCATACTCTGGAGGCGACTGATCAGGCGACCCGGGCAGCTGTGGCCTCGGTGGTCTCCGCTTGGGAGACTGCGAAAGAATATGCGAGCAAGGAGTCCGAATTGCGGGCTGAGGCTCGCGTGCTAGGCGTCAGCAGACCGGTGTCGCAAACAGAGAAGCAAGCGATGCGTGCGGCGTATGAAGCTGCGCACGGCAGCCTCGAGGAAGCATTCGAACCCTCTG